TTTTACAGAGCTGAGCAGGTTCTATTTTCGCAACATGACCACAAACTCAATTCAAGTAGCGTTTCTCCATTGCAATGACTCCATGCGAGACCCCTCGGCATGTCCAAACGCACCAGTCTATTAAATTTTATTTATACATCATATTCTACATTTCTATTTCGTCTAGCTAAAAAAAAACTGAAATATCGGAGTTAGCATCGTACTCTATATATACGTTCGTTTTAGAAAATCCTGAAAATTTTGCCCCCCTGTTTTTCCTGAGTATATATTGTATTTTTGCTTTATTAAATTTTCCTGTCGGGTTCCCCCGCCTCCTTCCTCATTTTTTGTTGTCGTAAGGTCAATGTAAATTTCAAGACATTGACATTTTTTTTTGCTGACTTGTCAGATTTAAAAACCTTCATTTTATCGTAGTGTAAACCTCTGAAGTGATTGCTATATCATTAACACAAGCACACAAAATTTTTATGCATTGTCGATATCTAAGCTTTCAAAATTTACGTAACCCACACATCCCAAACCTTGACAACAATTCTACTATAAAAATTAATTTAGATCCAATCTATATACCGGTAGACAATATTTCTTTGTAAAAATGATTGAATATAGACATGACAACTATGTAAAATAAATGAATTTTGCAATCCATATGCCCCCGCCCCCGTTGAGAGTTAAGCGATTAATCTCAATGATATTTCAGATGTACTTATACATTAAAAAATTGAAACACTGTACCCAAGTGAAATCAGGTGATATGGTTTGTAAATACGACCCCGGGGTTGGGATGCGGAGGGGGGGGGGGGGGGTTAAATCGGTGTATGGTTGTTGTTCGCCCTTCTGTGTCCTTAATATGGACGTTTATTATTTCGACTTTTTCCAATTTCAGATATAAACCCTGAACACACGATTGAACATCGTGTAAACAAACATGCACGATCTTGTGATATATTCTCTAACATATCAATATACAATGCATTTTTTTTCTGTTATGCCTGCTTGAAATTATCGTAAAACCGTGATCAAAACATTTATTAGACCCCATGTAAGAAGCAATACACTGACATTTTGCAGGAAGAATAAAAATGCGCTTGTAAAATAAATTCTTTTTACAAGACACTACGAATAGCAGCTTTCCACTTTTTAAAAATATATTCCATTCATTATGATTATGGCAAAGATAACATATATTCTCAAATCTTCAGATATTACCGGTATATTAAGTTTTGAATTATCATAATCCCGTCAAGTTCTCTGATAACATAGAACAGTACTTGTTTGTTTTCTACATCATCATTTAAACTCAACTGAAAATTAATTTTTGTTTTAAAAAATTAAAATGAAAAGATGTAGAAAATGGATTCCCTTAGGTCAATGATTAGCCTTGTCGACTTGTCCGAAAGAAATAAACCCCAGAAAAGTAAGGAAATCCTCATTGAATATTGACTGTTGAATTTTGCTTCTAATAAACACTAGTGCTTTTTTTCTAATTCATGTAAAAAAGACAAATGGATTTAATGTTTCTGATGGTCTACATATTTTGCGACTAAAGATTTTTAATCCAAAAAAAAATAAATTCCCTATTTCACCAAAGATGTTTTGTTTGAAAACGTCTTTTAGCCAATCTCTATAATAAACTTATAAGCACGGGGCTTTGTACCAGTATGAGTCAGGTATTTTTTTCTCCTAATTTTGCCGAACTAAATATAAGACCGGAAAGTAAATTAAATAAGCAACTTGTCGGTAGTAAATCTTCTTCATAATTCTTGGATTATTTATCGGCAATGGTTTGTTGAAGCATTTAAAGTCATCATTTAATGTCTACTAGAACAAATGAAATATTTAAACAACTTTTAAAAGAATTTATAGAATTATTTCGATACATTTTAATTTGAATTCATCGTTTAAAATTGTTATATTAGGAATTTTTTTCTTTAAAGATATAAACAATTTTTTTTTTGATAATTTAATTTTGGTATTTATTCAATTTTTGAAGAAAGCGATGAATCTGTGGGCCGAGAAACGGAATCAAATATTTGAATTTCGATTATATTTTTGTCAGACTGCACAACGTTAGAAATTGCAATGCATGCAGATGGAAAATACATGTAAAATTAAGAATAAAAAATACTATTATTGGTCTATACTATTTTCATTTTTATTAAATTTCAATTACAATTACTTTTAAAAAGTTTAAAAATAATGATAATCATTGTATATCAAACTGTTTTTAATTTGCGTCTGATTTTGATGTATATTCTCGCAATAGTCTATCAGTTTTGCTTGATTGGGATAACAATAAACAATTAATTAAAAAGATGTTAATATGATAATTAGAATTTACGCAGATTGTATAAATAAAAAAAAACTTCTTCATAGTTTTGTTGATATATCGCATATGAATTAATTCCCCTATACACATTCCTGTAAATAACGCGCACTTAGCGTTAACCCAAAATATTGAAAAGCCCGCAAAATAATGTCAAAGAAATTGTGACGTCTTTTTAATCTCGCAGTGACGTTATAATTTCTGTACACTGACGTCGCAGCCAGAGGGTTAAATCCCAATGTGGGGCGTTGAGACCGGTCCTTCGGATGAGAACGTATAAACCGAGATCCAGATCCCTCTATGCTCAAAGGCCTTGAATGCCAAGTATAGGACAAAATTTGCAACTCACCACCGGCAAGTGGTGGCGTCTCCATATGAGAGAAAAATTCTCGAGGGGGACGTTAAACAAAAAACAATCAATGAATCAATCAATTTAGTACAATTCTCAGTTAAACGAGGACTATCAGTAAGGCTGGGTATTCTCGACGGTACATACATGTATACTGAAAGGAAAAACATACGCAGGGTAACATGATACGCAAAAAAAAGTTTAACGCATGATAAAAAATTACGAAAATTGGTCAGATGAGAATCTTGGTTACTATGCATTAAAATCAGTGCTCATAATTACTCAACCGTGAAATGTATGACGTCACGTCGGAAAAGTGCTAAAAAGCCAAAAACATGTGCAACTTGATAACGATAAGTTTGTCAACGATCTTCTTATAATAAAGTACCATTTGATGCACTTGAGGTGTATACATAGATTTCAGTATTTGTAGACGAAATGCATTTCTTGCAATCTTGTGACAGTTGATGAAAGTTCCATGGGGTCTGGCTTTTACGTTGCCTACGTAAGGACAAGGACAATAGCAGCTTGCTCTGCAGTCGCTTGTAATTTTTTCCCCATAAAACGTCATAACCGTCGTCAGAGAGGGTCTTTTTCAATCAACCGTGACATTGACGCGTAACAGAGTCACGACAAGATCGGGTTATTCGTCCTGCCACCTGTTTAATCGCCACTGTACTACCACAAAACTGCCATTAATAGAGTAGGTTATCATAATCATTACATTCACCATAAAAGTGAAAGAGACCGATTGCGAGATTTGAATCTTTGAGTTTGTCAACCTTACGTTGGGGTTCCTCTTACTGGCGCATGCGCGCGCCGTTTGATAATTTTTTGGCGTGTTTACCTCCGGCCCATTGTAGCCTGGGTTTATCAAACTTTCTAGCAAAAAATCACATTTACCCACTCGACTTTAATTCTTTTTGCTCATTGAACATCCGTTGGACTGAGTGGAAGATAGGGTTCGAAATGCCGAAGATGGTCCCTTTTAACTAAGGGTTATCGTGTTGAAAAGGTTGAAAATATTCCTATTTGTAGGATAAATTAAGACACTGATGAACTCCATGCAAAGGAGAAAAAAAGACTGTGATAGTTGCGCAGAGGAGACATTGAAGATAATGAGAATTTTCAATTTTTCACTTTTGAGGGGTTTCGTCATAACATTTTCAATAACTTACGAATTATGACTCTAAGTCAAATGCAATTTTGGTTACATTTTTATTAAAAATGATTCTAAACGTTAGATACGGATACTAGAAAATACATAAGGAAAATAAGAATTATTTCACATCTGAAGTTTACCCTGCGTTTCTTTTTCCTTTCAGTATGATTAGTGTCTGAAATTTACACAGATTTTCATTCACCGCTGAAATATACATTCCGGCGAATGTCAACCAGTGTGTCAATGATCCAATCACAGTATTTTGTATGGCAAATAGGTGAGGCTTAAGTCGTCTCATCGTTGTCAACAGTGGTTTAAAGTTGCTGGTGTTATGAATTCCCTTAACCAATGAGAATCTATTCGTCGTTTGTGCGACGTTAATTACGTAGTGTTGAGAAAGTCACGCCCCACTGAAAGTCCAAGGTTAACTGAGAATCGTACTACAAGGGTTATCTTTTCCATCTACAGGAGTTATCTGTCTTCTAATGTTATTTAAGGAATGAAGCTTATTTCAACTTATGTTATCCGATATAACATAACTTGGGGCAGTTTACGCTTTATAAACCGCGAAGCGGTTTATAAATAAGCGTAAACTGCTCCAAGTTTTGTTATATCGGATAACATAAGTTGAAATAAGCTTCATTTCTTATAATTTATTTTCAAATAGACAATGAGACAATATTTCCCCCAGAAAAAGGCTTCAAAGTGAGCATTATTTTAAAAGTAACGTCAAGCGGAGTGATACGTTTTTGACGTAACTCATTGTGACGTAGGCAAGTTATAAGTTATATGAAATGGATAAAACCGTTTAACCAATCAAATGACGCGTTACAACTGAAATTAAATTATATGATAAGAGAAAGAAATATATCTCAGTTTAAAGAAACTAAGTATTAATGTCTTAAGTAATTGATAAATATACATGTATTGGCAATAAAGAAGGTATAAATCAATATTTGTAACAAAGTTCAGATTTCATTGAATTGTCCATGTAATGGTCATCATTATTAAATTAAACTTTGATTAAGACAATTCATTGGTTTGCTTGGAATAATTTCCATGGAACCGGCTAAAGTGCTGATAAAGCTTAAACTGATACGAGATTCAAAGTTAATTCACATTCCACATGATCCGCCCCAACGGCTATAAATAAAGCTTAATCCGTTACAATTATGATTATTTTTCTTCCTCGACTGTAAATTTAGCGGGACCGCTGCCCGATACATTGCCGATTAACGTGAATACAACTGTACTTCTGCTTGTCGGAGGTCGATGCATGGACATGGTGCCAACTCTTCTGCGAAGAAAGCAACTACAGAGGTTTGTTATTGTACTAGGCTTTTACCGTATCTCTACTATTAATTTCTTCCCCAGGAAGATTTGCATGACTGAATCTTCTGACATGAGGCCAGTGGGGTTTATTGTTGTAAACAAACGAGAGAATGTTGAGAGAACGTCCGGTGTGTTTATTTCACCATGCATATAAATCTTTGGGCTTATTGATTTCTTTTGTGATAGTTTCGCTTCAGCAGTGTACATGGTATATGTCTAGCCTTATTCATTGAAAGCATTGGATTTAAATGTTGGAAATGTACAAGTATGTGTGTAAATGCAGATAGTACTCTTCTTACTAACAAGGGGCAGGAAGCTTTCAGATACGCGTATTTTCCCCAAGGGTCTGGACTATATCATCTTGAATATTACTGTTCTTGTTGCAGCTTTACAATAGAATACAAGCCAAATTAATATTTGATCTGATTACACGAAAATTGAAACCATGTATCGTTTTGATTGCAGGAGAGTGACTCGTACAGCATGTTTGAAATTAATTAGCAGTTTCACCTGCATAGACTTAACTCAGGTAAAAAATTATTTCATATATCTTCATAAAAATTTGTCATTTAAATTACAGTTAGAGAGCAAAGATAAAGACGGCATGCAGTACTTAACTGCTAAAGTATTGAAAGGCCATTGTTTTATCAATATTCTTCATACTGGTTAAGCTGACACGCACTGTGGATTTTCGCCGGGGGATCGGTTAATGAAAATTATCAATAGCCATGGCATGGCAGTGTCGGCTACGAAAATATTTCGTTTAAGAAGAAGAATTTATAGCGCTCTGATTTTTTAAAGAAAGTTCTTATACTGTTTAAACCCAGCGAACCATTTCTTTCAGTGGCTATGTCAATAAACCTTTGTAATAAAATACTGCATGTATGTCATGAGTTTCTATTTGCCTTTTTAAAATCATTTAAAGCCGATATTTCGCATCATTTATGTAGTCATTACATTGAAAATACGAGTTTGACAGTATACACTTTTATGTAAACCAAACAATTAAATAACGACAGCTGAACTGAGGGACCACCAAGACACCGAATAATTCACTTTTACCACAGAATGTTTTACCTTTTAATATGAGTGATCATTGATTAGATAATGAGGAAGTTTGAAAAATATAGAATGTAAAAATATTCTGGATTTTTTTCTTTTGGTGATAATTGATGAGCTAATGAGGAAATTTTAAATATATAAATGTAAAAAAAAAATTAGCTAGAATTTTGGGAGCGTCTCAAAACTTGAAAGGAGACGTTGTGGTTACAAATACGCACTGTACATGTACATACACATACATTAAATGTATTGTATTGCAGCTTAGTCACGAAACCTTTCTCTTCCCTAAGTTACAATGTTGCACAACATTCATTCATTTGTCACACTTTTATCTTCAAGACCAAACTTAGCAAAAACTAAATTGGATATCAGAGATAAGACTCTAATTTCCTCCACGATTAACGAAATAAACAAGAAATAACAAAACTGTCAAACCAGATGATATATTTTAAAAATTCATCAAATTAATTTCACGATCGGATGTATTACTGACTCCAGACAGTAGACAATAACCTACATCATACACTGTTAACTTTCCTTATTGATATGATATTTAGTGAAAGGCCAGTGTTGCTTTGCGTATTGTTTCCTGAAAATAAGCTGATGTTACAGCTAAGGCTTTCAACAACCTTTAAAATAAGCATTTGGAAAATTTTATATTCGTTATATTGGCCTTGTTCACAATTACATCCTACACTGGCCTTAGGTCGTATGTTGGCCGACATGTTTCTAACCAATTTTTATATCATCGCTTTATACGACTACGAATTTTTCGTCTGACTGATCAATACAGGGTTCACTGTATGTGTGTTTGGTCGACTGGGGATGTTTACTCCTCGTAGGAAACTGATCCCTCCTACGGAATTTCTGGATGATTCTTGTTTTTGTTTTTTTTGCCCTGTTTACAAAGTTTATTTGTATATTATTGTGATCGATCACAGTTCCATATGACTGCAGATCTGTGGCGTTATGGTTTTATATATTTGTCTTTGACTATAATCCGGATAAAGGTGTTAGGTACTGTACGAGGCAGTCAAAGTCGGAAATAAAGTTCTACATATATAGAATATGTAGAATGGGGATAGACAGCTAAATAAAATTTTATTTGTGACAACAGGAAAATCCACTTTTCAAGACAACAACAGTAAATTTACATAGGAGTATATACTATCACATTGCTACATCATCAAATTTTAGAGAAGCCTGGGAAAAAAATACAAAAAAAATATTGCGTTTTATGTATTATTAAATTATGAATTAAGACTTTATAAATGAGTAGCCGATTTTCCACTTACGACTTGCAATTTTTTTTTTATTTATATATTTATAAATCATATTATCAAAAATGATTTTTTTTTTTCGTAATTATCGGTATAATCTATATATAACCATACCTTTGTTGACAAAAGAAAACAAAACTAAATCAAGGCGTCTTTCATTTTGTATTTCCATTCAGAAAAAGACTTCGAACAAAAAAATTTCATCTCAGCCAAGCTTTTGGCGATTTTGACAATTATAAAATTTAAAACCCCTAATTTCATTCGGGGAAAAATTCAGTGCAACGACGTCGGCAACTGTTATCTATATTTAGAGTCACAATGACAACAGTATACCGAAATAATTTGGTTGTCAATACAATTTGAAACGTTTCTTATGACACAAATGCGTGTTTGTCCAGTAACTATGTGACCTAAAGTGTTTCATGTGTGGTCATTTTAGGCTATTAATACTAAGTAACTCTTTATATGCGATCCCTATTTATGTACAATATTGGTATAATGCATGATGCCTGAATGTATATTTCTCTAGATTTATTTAAATATTATTTTTGGAAAAGAAATTCGTTTATATTATTAATTACATTAATGTTAACCATGTCAAATTATACAAGTTACGGATATTATCACTGTCAATTTTGTCGCAATTTTCCTAAAAGCTTACTGAATTAGAAATAGTACAAATACTTCAACAAAGGTTCAAAAGTGTTTTCGTTTTATCTTTACCTGCTTCATAATACTTATTTCATATACATGTATGTCCTGTTTCTTTTCAGATAAAGCAGAAATGAGGTGATCCTGGTCTCTTGTCGCTTGACACGTGGTTCACAATGAAGTACAAACAGCGCTTAGTGCTGATGACAGTGGCGTCCGTGACGATCGTGATTGTGGCGCTCTACAAACTCTCACAGAAAGAAAATGTGACGGAAATGATAGTTAACCTTCCAAACTTCCGGTTTGCCGGGCTAGGCGGTGCCCTTAAGTTTACGGGAACCTGTGCCGACACAACCATGACATCGGACTGGACGGTAGAGGAAATTTATGATGACATGAACTTTACAACGAATCCCAGAAAAGAAGGAGGGTTGTATGTTCTTCACGAGAAGAACGAAAAATACAAGAGGAATCTCAAAAGTGGTAAGGAACCCCTGCAGATAATCGTGGTCCCCCACTCACATAACGACCCGGGGTGGTTATGGACACTGGAAACGTATTACACTGTAAGAACAAGAAGTATCCTAACAAACACTGTTCTGTTTCTAGAGAAATTCCCAGACTTTAGAATGATTTGGTCAGAGACTGTATTTCTAGATATATGGTGGAAGGAGAGTCCCACTGATATGCAGAATAAGTTTAAAGACCTCGTTAAACAAGGCAGGATAGAAATTCTGTCTGGGGGTTGGGTATCGGTAGACGAGGCCACAACTCACTACAGTGCGGTTATCGATCAGCTGATAGAAGGTCATCTATGGATTAAAGAGATTTTGGGAGTCACCCCAAATATCAGTTGGTCTATTGATCCGTTCGGTTATTCTACAAGTTTACCTTATTTGTGGTATAAGTCTGGTATGCCAGACATGACCATATTACGTCTTCATGGTGCACTTAAGCAATACATGGGTCACCGTCATATTATGACATTCAATTGGCGCCAGCCTTGGGATATGGCGGGAAAAAATGACATACAGTGTCACGTGGAACCTTACACGCTGTACGGCATAGAGTATAGCTGTGGGCCTGACCAGGAGGTATGTGCTGTGATGGACTTCGGTCGTCGGGCTGGCCTTCCCGATGATAAGGAACAACCGATTCCTATTGGCAATAACAATAGACAAGCCAGAAACCTTCACGAGTATGCAACAATGGTCGCTGAACAGTACCGTCATAAGGCGGACCAATATAAACATAATGTACTGCTCATGCCGCACGGAGACGATTTCAGATATATTATGGATTACGAATTCGAGACAAACTACGTTAATATGAAGAAATTGATGGATCATATAAATTCCAGAAAAGAATTGAACATTCAAATGCGTTTTGGAACTGTGGGTGATTATTTTAACGAGTTGCACAAAAGTATCGCTAAATCGGGTGAGCCAGATAGTTCTTTAAGTGGAGACTTTTTCACTTACACGGACCGCGATGATGAGTATTGGAGTGGATACTTTACATCGAGACCGTTTGATAAACGGATGATAAGATATCTCTTAGAAGTATTAAAAACTGCGGAGATGTTGACTACATTTTCTGTTTACCGCGCACAACAACAAGGCTATAACTTTAAAAATGTTCAGAAGGTATTGAGAGATCTGCAGGAGGCTAGACGCACCCACGGCTTAGTGCAGCATCATGACGCCATCACAGGAACTTCTGCGCACCCAACAGTTGTGGATTTTGAGAACAGAATCACAGCTGCCATTACTTTGTTACAGGGTGTTATTTCAAGAGACATCGAGAGCTTGTTGCTAAAAGAGGCTGCAAACACAAATATCAATATTGTGCCAATCCATGTCCAACCCAAACCTGACGCCCCTCTGGAGAGGCGCGTTATAGCTGTATCCGAGTCAGGGACCCAGGTTATCTTCACCAACTCGTACACACAGCGGCGCAAGGACTACGTTAACCTTATCGTTAACTCTATGATGATCCAAGTTCTAGATCAGCATGGCGAAGAAGTACAAGTGCAGATCAATCCCTGCTGGGAGAGTCAAAAAAGTATAGCCAAAGCAATCTTTGAAGTTGTATTTCCAGTTGAAATACCTGCAATGTCGTTCATAATATTTGTTTTCAAACGATCACAAAAGAGCAAACCTCAGTATTCAACAGTTAGCATTCTGAATGGAAAAGCAAATTCTCCATTACAAAATGTTTTCAACCCAACAGCATTAAATTTAGATCAGAACGAATTTACGGTGGATACTCAAAAGTTAAAAGTCACGTTTTCGGACAAAGGGATGCTAAAATCTGTGTGTCGAAAGAAAGGAGGACAGGTGAGCTGTACCGACATTAGAGTTGGTTGGCATTGGTATCAGGGGGTGAATAGCAATGCTTACTGTTTTGGGACTGATGGAACAGTGACGAAATTGTTCGAAAAGAATGTTTTTGTGAGGGTAATATCAGGGAAATATAGTACCACGGTGATTATCAACCATGCTTTGTTGCAGCACACCACGACTATATACAACACTAGCGACCTTCACGGAAACTATGTGTACATAGAAAACGTGGCGACATTGCTGCTGGCAGAAGACAGAGATAAGGAACTATTTATGGAGCTACAAACTTCTGTCAGAAATCCTAATATGCAGTTTTATACCGACTCCAATTCGTTTCAGCTGATTAGCAGACAAACCCGAAATAATTATCCCATGGCCGCCAACTTATTTCCAATAACCTCTATGGCGGTCATGCAGGATTCTAAATCGAGGCTGACAGTACATGTGGCCCAACCTTTGGGAGTAGGAAGCTTTAAATCCGGTTCCTTGGAGTTTTTAATTGATCGTGTTCCAACCTCCTCTGGTAAAGGTCTAGAGGAGCCTGTCACAGACAATAAACCAACTGTTAGTAAATTTATATTACATATAGAGGACTTCAACACGGAGTCTGAGATGGTCCAAAATCACCGGAAGAGGATGGCTCACCCTTCGACAGAAAGCTTCCTCATCAACGATTACCTACAACACCCTCTTATTCCGTTTGTTGCAAGTCGGAAATACGATTTGACGGAATTAAGAATTTTAAAGTCAAGCTTACCATGTGACATGGTCATAGCTAATTTAAAAACTTTTATTTCTGAACAACAAGAACTACTAGGTACTGGTTTGACACTACATCAACGCCAAACGTCGTGTAAGATAGCGAGTGACAGTTTACCGTGTTCCCCTGGAAGTTCTAAACTCAAGTTATTTGATCTCTTTACAGACCTCAAAGTGAAGGACATTACAAAAATGTCATTGACATATTTACATGAGAAAGAGAAACTCTCGCAGACATCTGAAGTGACTATTGATAGTATGGAAATAGAGTCTTATAAAATTCATTGGTCATGATAGTGGCTCTCATATACAGTGCCTGTTTTATATTTTCTTGTATATACATCTGTTCATAATATTCGCCTTTTAATTTATTTCATAAGTATGTTCATTTTTCATTGAATGTACATTCCTTATTTCGTTTTATACATGCACTTGTTAATAAAGGTATAGTTGCTATTCGTTCTCTTCATGTGGGCCTGAGTGTTATAGACAAGCTTACTGGTATACGACGAGCTTACTATATGCTGATGCAACGGAAGACCAGGGAAGAGAACAATACGAACACGTGTTACATAACATATCGTCCAATGCTGACACATGTTAAGTAACATATCGTCATTTATTCTGACTGACCCCTTAGGAAATTATAGATTTTCAATTTTTTTCTCTGAACTGTGAATACCAACCGATGTTTGCATTTAATTGTGCCTTTCAAATCGTTTTTTTTAACTTCTATACTTTTACAAGCATCCTACATTATGATTAATGCAGTCTTCCTTGTCGTAACTGGAAAATACCCTTCATCTTAATTATCAACAATTATGTACTGTTTGTATTTCTATTGCTTGCGAAGCCTCTGCCAAAGAGAGATGCATGCTATAACTTCATGTTATACAACCAAAACTGACAATATACACGTAGAACAACTTAGAACCAGCCCTATGCCTCCTTTGTTTAGTTAAATTACAGTGTATCTGTTAGGATGTCATAGAGCATAAGTGCATAAGTGTTCATTTGAGTCTATGTACGAGTATATTATATAAAGTTCTTCATTCACGGGGAGTTTTTATACACTGAATACTCAAGGCCTAAGACATTTAGAGTAAACACATTTATTATACTTCTGTTAAAATGTTTCCTATATAAAGTTCAGAAGGTAAAATAGCTGCAGATCTGTAGCTCTCCGAAAATTATATATTGATAGACAGGAGAGCTACAGAGCCACCCATTGAAAAAACTGTATATTTATTGCGCACAAAAAAATGCGCTCGGTTCTCGATTTTTTTCTCCATGTTTTTAAAATTGTAACCTCAAAATATTACTAACCGTGTGTTCCTAACATATTCTTTGACTCTTTCCACAACAAAACATTCCTCATAATCGTTGTTAATAGTCCTCCTACCCCTGATATTGCAATCATCGAACATTTCGCTTGTTTATACTGCCATTTTGGTTTCAAAGATAATTCGGTCCAATATGCTTCGTTCAGACGTCAACTAAGAGAGAAATTGATAAAGGAGAGAGGAATTTTTTGAAATCTTCCATTTTTGCAGTTGAGGTAAGAATTAGGAAGAATTAATAAAAAATCGAGCGCACTTTTTTGTGCGCAATAAATATACAGTTTTTTCAATGGGTAGCACTGTAGCTCTCCGGTCTATCAATAATTTTTTTTTTCGGAGAGCCACAGATCTGCAGCTAAAGGTAAAATAGCTATCTTTTATAGTTCATGCATAGCAAAGCTATACCCCGGGGTATAGTTTTTGCTATCCACCCTCGGAAAATTTTCATGCAATTTTTGCCTTCAATTTTGATTTCCAGCGATAAATCTATTGTCTGATGATGTCATAATGACTTCAGTAGCATTGTGACGTCATCCGGATTTCAGATTATTCTTGCAGTATTATCTTACTCCAAAAAAAATTCAAACCTCAGAAATTATATTATACATCAGTATAATAAAACGCTTATCCACTGTTTGTGAGAGGGATAGCTCTTTTATCAAACCCTTGACAGGGACTATTCCCCTCGGGCAAGCCCTCGGGGAATAGTTCCCTGTCAAGGGTTTGATAAAAGAGCTATCCCACTCACAGACAGTAGATAAGTGTATAATATACTAATTTTTTAAAAATACATACGTACAATATTGTACGCATATGACATTTAGATAAACTGTGTTAAGAGGACTCAACACATTAATGATAATACATTATCCTATGTAAGTATACGTAGATTATATGAAAATTGCAGTGTACATAAGAAGTAGGGACTGAAGCACAAAAGAATTAAAAAAAGATACATTAGAACGAGTTTTACGCATCAAAGAAGATGGAGAGTTCAACCACGGGTTATGATTGATCCTAAGACTGTATTCAACAGATTTCAGAACATTTGATTGATCGACACAATCTGTGTAGTTTCCTCGTCAACTAAAAAGGATAAGGTTAAAGATCAATCTTAGTATTTATGTTAATACTAAATAATGATACACCCTTTAGTCACAAAAACCGTGGAAGAACTAGGTCAGTTTCTCTCTCATATTTCATCCAAGTTCGGTAAAATGTTTTTTAAAGAATGAAGAATGATACCTATATTGATAAATAATCATGGCCGTATGACCCGGGGGAGGGATAGCCCCCCCACCAATAATTTTGCCGATATATAGAAAACTTATTGCTTTTGCCCCCTAAATAATAAAGTCTTGTGACCTTTTTTGCTTGTCAAGGAATTTTTTGTAGTAGCCCCAAAGAAAAATGTATGGTTGTGCCCCCAAACTGAAATTCCTTCCCAAGGTCCTATTAATTTAGTATAACTATTACATGTATATATCAAAAGAGACAAGATCGACGTGTTCGTGAAACTCGGATTGAAGTTTCTCAAATGCAAGACAGACTCCAAGGTCAAGGTCAAAAGGTCAAAATTGTTGATATCCAAAGGAAGGTCTTGTCTTAATTAGGTAATGAACCTGTGAAATACAAAAGCCCGCGTACTAATGTTCAAAAGTTATGGCCAAAGTTAATTTTTTAAACTGTGGGTTAAACCCTAAGGTCAAGGTCAAACCTGTAAAATATCAATTTTCTTTTTGCCTCGCTCCGTTATTTTCCATGTGTTACTTCCATACATGAGAACTGACAGAACCAAACTTCTTTAGTTTGATGGGGAGCTCCAGATTTTCCTGAACCTTCTAATTTTAGGTAAGTAAAGGTTTTTACATCCTCCAGGATTTTAGCTCACCTGAGCCAAAGGTTCAAGTAAGCTTTTCTGATCAAAATTTGTCCGTTTTTTTTGTCGTTGTTGTCGTTGTCGTAGACTTTTCACATTTTCATCTTCTCCAAAACTACTGGGCCAATTTCAACAAAACTTGACACAAAGTATCCTAGGTTGAAGGAGATTCAAGTTTGTTCAAATGAAGGGCCACGTCCTCTTTCAAGGAAAGATAATAAGAAAATAGTGAAAAAATAATGGCATCTTTTAAAATCTTCTTCTCTAGAATCACTGGGCTAGGAGAGATGAAACTTATGGGGAAGCATCCTCAGATAGTGTAGATTCAAGTTTATTCAAATCATGATCACAATGGGGGATCAAATTTTTACCTAGAAATATATAGGAAAATGTCGTTAAAAATATTCTTCTCAAGAATAGCAAAGTCATGATTAGTCATATTTATATGGAATCATCCTCTGGTGATGTAGATTCAAGATTCTTCAAATCTTGACCCCCGGGGTTAGGATGGGATCAAAGTTTTACATAGGAAGAGATAAGAAAATTCTTTCAAACTCTCTTTCTTAAGAACAGCAAATCAATGACTGGTCATATTTATATGGAAGCATCCTCAGGTGGTGTAGATTCAAGTTTTTTCAAGTCATGACAACAGGGGGTAGGGTGGGGCCACAATGGGGGATCAAAATTTTACATAGGAATATATGTAGGAAAAAATCTTTTTCTCAAGAACAGAAAAGCCCTGATTAGTCATGATGATATTGAGGCATCCTCAGGTAGTGTAGAATCAAATGAATTCAAATGAGGGTCCCCAGTGGTAGGGCTGGGCTACGATAGGGGATCAAATTTTTAAAAATGAATAAATAGAAAAAAATCTTCTGCTCAAGAACAGCAATGCCGTTTGTTATATCAATATGGAAGCATCATATCCCCCCCCCTGTAAACTTTTCAACACTTAACTAATTTTTGCTTTTTTCCTAGCCAATGTGCTCAGGTGAGCGATGTGGTCCATGGGCCCCTTGTTTCTATCAATCTTGACTGGCGTTCTTTTATCAGCATTTCTTTTCGGTTCTATTTAAAACCAGTTTGACTTTCAATATCATCTAGTCGTTATGACTTTTGTTGGATATCTGGACGTAAACAAACAAAATATGGGCTTATTTTGCTTCTAAAAAATTTACCGTAATAAAATTTTTTTTTCCAATACTGATTATGTTTGCACGGAGCTTTTTCCGGATTTGTTTCCTCCGTACTTAGTTTTATTTTTATGTTAAGTAAAACGTTTTCTGTACACTTCCGGTGTTGGCGGCTTTCTCTTTCTTCACATGGTTTACAAATATTTTTGCAGAATATTGATTAACCAG